GTAAATCAAAATCTGAGGCTTATAATTTTCTTATTGAAAGAGCTGTTCAGAAAATGCAAGGATAGAAATAGAGATTATTATATCAAACCAATAGAGAAACCCTTGTGAAAACGGTGGTCCAAGCCATTCCCTCCTATGCAATGTCCTGTTTTTTTCTCCTAAAAAAATTCAGCGATCAACTTAATTCCTACACCTGCAACTTTTGATGGGATGGAGACCTAGAGGATAGAGGAATCCACTGGGCGAGTTAGGCCAAACTCTCTCTAACTAAGTCTCACGGGGGTATGGGCTTCCGAGACTTTAAAGCTTTTAACCTTGCCTTTCTAGCAAAACAGGCTTGGCGATTGTTAAAATATCCCAATTCCTTTTGTGCTCAACTTCTGAAGGGAATTTATCTTCCATCTTCATATTTTCTATTAGCCAGAAGGGGGAGGCGGGGCATCTTGGGCCTGGTCGAGCATTATTCAAGAGAGAGATCTCATTCGTAAAGGCCTTCGGTGGCAAGTTGGTAATGATCAGTCCATCAAATTTTGAGAGGACCGATGGATTCCTTCTTCTACAAATTTTAAACTGGTTAGTTTGAAATCAGATAGCTATCAAGTTCATTGGGTTGGGGATGTAATCAATTCGACCCACGCTGTGTGGGACAGAGACAAACTTCTAGGGATTGTCAATCAAGAGGATGTGAGTAATATCTCAGTCATTCCTATCTCCTCCGAGGGTCAAGAGGATACATTGATATGTCACTATACTAATAAAGGAACTTATGAAGTCAAAAGTGGTTATTAGGTGGCCAGACAAGAGCTTTTGAAAACGAGTTCCTCTTTAGCATCCTCCTCTGTCCAGCCCCCTAAAAGCTTATGAAAGTTCATTTGGTCTTTAAAGGTTATTCCAAAAATCCGTAAATTTCTGGTGGCGAGTATGTTACAACAGACTAGCAACAAAAGAAAATTTGTTTCAGTGGAAGTGTGCTCCCTTTCTTAACTGTCCAGTTTGTCAAGAAAGTGCTGAATCCATTGAGCACATTCTCTTCCACTGCGACTGGGTGAGAGCCGTGTGGTTTGGATGTAATTTGGGGCTCTGAATTGGGCACGATCTGATAGCTTCAGCTCTCCAGTGGACGGTGTCTCTAATGCAAACCTGCTCTCAGGTCCTTGACAAAAGAGAGATGGTGAGTAGGGTGGCCACAGTTGGTTAGTGTATCTGGAAAAGTAGAAATGACTGGGTTTTTAATCATTGTTCTGTAGATTCTCATCGAGTTGCTCAACATGCCTGTGCTTATTGGTGGGAATTTGAACAAGCCCAACACCACCCAAGACCACCCTCACAGCAGAATTCTGTTCCAGGTCGCCCTCACTCTCGATAGGTCCTTCCCTCCTTAGCTCTATGAAGGTTACCTGTGATGCTAGTTTCTCTTCTTCTGATGGCAAAGCAGCGTTGGCTGTGATTCTGAGAGATAGCCACAAAAATCTTATGATGGTGCGGCCTCCATTGCCTACTCTTCCTCAGCTAAACAAGGAGAAGCTCATGCTATTTGACTAGCTTGTATGTTTCTTCGAACTCTGGGTCTTTCAAATCTTCAAGTGGAAAGTGACAACCAAGAATTGATCGCCATTTGTGTTTCTGAGCTTGTTCCTCCCTCGAATGTTTCTGCACTTCTGCATGTTATTCAGGTTGTGTCTTCTACCTTCCATGTTTCCTTTGTTGGGATACCTAGGGAGACCAATAGAGTAGATCACTAGGTTGCAAGAGCTCATCTTCATGGTGCTTTTCCTTCTAACTGGGTTTCCAACCCTCTTACTGCTCTTTCGGCATTGCTTTTGGCGGATGTTTCTTTATAGCCTTCGGGCATTTCTGTGATAAAAAAAAAATTATGAATGTAATGTGAAATTTTATTGTTTACAAAATCAATTTAGAAAAAGATTATAGAATTTCAACAGATAATTTGAACATGTAGAATTTTTGAACAGATAAATTTCAACAAAATAATAAAATTTGAACACATATTTGAATAGAAAAAAAAAATTGTTTTGTCTTGATATTTCTACAGAACAAACAAATAAGTGAAAAAATTGAACGGATAATAAAATTTAGACAGATATTTAAGGGGAAATTTTTGAACAGATAGAATTTTTTTTGAATAAATAGGGTAAAAAAATTGAATAGATAGAGAAAACAATTTAACAAATAGGAAATTTTTATGAAAAGATAGGAAAAAATTTTGAACAATTAGTTAACGAAAGTCAACTAATAAATTAAGAGGAAAAATTAAAAACAAAATCTATACTATATATTAAGCAAAAGGGGGTTTTTAACCCCAAGCCTTGTGGGAGTTCCAATCTCCCAATCTAAATTTCTAGATTTTTTTATTTTAAAAAAAAACTTAGCATTTATTAATTTCTCCCAACTCCCAAGTCTTACCCTCATAATAGCACTTTAATGCATTAAGAACAAGTATAAAAAAAATTCTTTGAAATTCAACACATATGAATTCCTTGAAAATTCCTAATACATATGGTTATTATCCCTCATAATAACACTTTAATGCATTAAGAACAAGCATAAAAAAAAATTATTGAAAAGTCCAACACATGATTATTATCAAAATATTAAACTTTAATATAATATAATAAAAAAAAAGACATTTAATTCTTTAAAAAGTCCAACACATATGATTATTATCAAAAAACTTGAAAATTCCCAACATATATGGTTATTATCCCTCATAATAACACTTTAATGCATTAAGAACAAGCATAATTTAATTCTTTGAAAAGTCCAACACATATGATTATTATCAAAATATTAAACATTAATATAATATAAAAAAGAAAAAAAAAAGAAGACATTTAAAAAAGAAAAGAAAATATTTAAAAATCACAATTCACATATATAGATAATTGTAAACACAATCCGTGCATAGCACGAGTGATATGCTAGTATCTTTTAAAACAAAGAAAATGACTTCTCACTAAACTATTTCACAAATAGTGGGCCTCTCACTAACAAAAAAAATATCTACTGAATCTAATGTCTTATACCCTTCCTTAAGTTGGACTTTTTAACAATTTATTCATAAGAGAAAATAAATATAAAATTAGGATAGTCATTCAGGTCAAGTTTTGCATCTACTAAATAATACAAAAAGTCAAAAAGTCACTATCCTATTTAAGTTACATCATCTTATTTAAATCACATCACCTCTCTAACACATCACATCAAACCCAACCTAAACCCAACCCATATAAGCCAATAAGTCAAAAAGTACAATTTTTTAGAACATCCCAAACCAATTTCAATCCATTTTATCGTACCAACTGTGTTCAAAGTGGTCAAGTGTTCAATTAATTATATTTTGTGTTTTGTGCATTTTATTATTATTTTTTCAAACCATGTAAATATATAAATCTTTTTTGTATTTAACAAACAGATAAATAAGATTGGTTTGGGATGTGAGTTGATTTTTTAGTTATCTGAGGCTAAAAAAATTTGTTTGGATTGAGTTTTTTGATTTTTTAAATTTTTGTGTGAGAAAAAATAAAATAATTATGATTTAAATGTAACATTTTGTCTTATTATTTTTTTAATTTATTTTATTTTTTATGACTATTTTAATCCCGCAACCTTATGCCAAGTGAGTGCATAATTAATATGATACTCCCAAACAACATAATAATTACTTACGTAAAATGCTATAAGTCTTAAATTTTCTACCAAATAAATAACTAAATATCTCACGTGGTGTGAGGTTGTAACAACCCCAACCTATGATTAGCCACTAAACTATGATTAAGAATGCATAATAAATAATCAAGGTGACACTACTGGAAAAGGGGTATATGACACCGAATTTTTTGCGACGACATATGTTGCTATCGCAAAAAGCTACTTTTTTTGCGATGGTTAATATTTCGTCGCCAATGATCACTTATTACGACGGTTAATTCTGTCTCAAAAAGAACGAAGCATATGTTCAATAGGTTTTGCGACAGCAAATCTATGGCCGTCGCAAAAGCTCATTTTTTACGACGATTATTTCCTCCGACGTAAATATATACATATATATTTTTTTGCGATGGCATCATTGTGCCGTCGCTAATAGCCAAAAAAAAAAAAAAAAATTCCCAAATTTCTCAAACGTTTATTTTCGTTCCCCCTCTCTCTCTCTCTCTCGCTCTCTCGCTTTACATCTTCCATCTTCGAGTTCACTCTCTCTTTCTCTCTCTCTCTTCCACCGACATCAGTTTGTTGATCCACCTTCACCAAGCCGACATCGCCACCCACTCTCTTAGGGGTGGGCATGGTCCGGATTGGACCGGATTAGGGTAAAATCAGGACCAATTCGTTATTTACGGTTCTTGAAAAATTAGAACCAATCCAATCCGTTTAAATACTGGAACCAATCCGAACCAATCCATTTAAATACGGATTGGATCGGTTTAGGACCACGGATTCACATAATTAAATAAACAAAATATATATATATAACACTTTAATTTCATAAAAATATAAACATAGCGATATATTAATTCCACAATAGCAACATGTCTTTCTATAATAGCAACATACTATTCTAGAATTTAAATAACCATAAGAGTTTAGGCCATTATAAATTAAAATTAAAAACTAACAAATAAAAGTAATAAAATGAGATATTATGCAGGTTTAGATTTGAGTTTATGTTTTATATAGAATAAGAGAAGATATTATGGAGGAAGATGTATAATAAAAATATAGACTATTTATATACGATCCGGATCGGTTCCAATTCGAAACCCTAGGATTCAATTCGGAATTAATCTGTATACTACAAATTTTTAATTATTCAATCTGAAACCGAATCATGGATTAAAAAAAACAAATCCAAACCTATCGAATTGAACTCACCTGCATCCAATTACGAATTTAACGGATTTGTTGATCAGCCCTACACTCACTCTCGATCTCGCCATCGATCTCGGTCAGTACATGGATATCACCTCTCTCACAGCTTTAGGAGCCTTCAACGTTCAATCGGTACCTCTCAAGGTATTGCTGATCCAAAATTTGTATTTTTATTCGCGGTGTGCACATCTGTTTTCATCTCTCTTTTACTTCCTTCGAAACCTTAGAGTTTGAAAGTAATGACTCTCTCTCTCTTTCTCTCAGTTTGAATTTAAGAATTTTGCATTCGATATTTGTATTATGAATTTGAAATTTATAAAAACCTAGAGCTTGAAGGTAAGGGTTTTCTCTTTGCATTCGAAATTTGTATTACATATTGAAATCCTGTAGAATAATAAACTTGTGTTTTTAATTTCAAAGTTCTCTCTCACTTGCACGCCCACACAAATTAATGATCCTAATTAACTTTGTAGCCTAGTTAATCCAGGGTTGGGTGAATTTTTTTCTATCCCTCATTCTTTCAATTTGTTTGAACTTGGTTTGATATATCAATACAAAATTTTGATGAGAATATTAGAAACTACTAGTTCCTAATACAAGTTTTACTTCTTTCTACTTGATTAAATCTTATGATTCTGAATCGTAATATAACTGATAACTTTGTTATCATTTCTTGTTCTCTCTCATTTTGATTCTGTTATGTTTCATGTGTGAATTTGACAGGGAAGGAATAATTGCTGCATCTTTGTTTAGGCAACATCTGTCTATATTTTACTTGTTAAAGAAAATAAATAGGCAACATGCATCTTTGTTTCCCTGCACGTAGATTATTTGGCCTTCTGTTGCTGTGATCTGTTGTTTATGATGCTTAGGATATATCCTTCTATTTGCTGCTTTTTGGTTTGTACTCTGGTTAGCTTGGGGCACTAGAGGATGACATGTTCATGGTCTGATATTGTAACTCATTGTATATGTTACCTTATTTTCTGACTTTGGAAAATACATGTGGCACAAATTGGAGTATATTGCTATTTTGTGTTAGCTGATAAAATGCATTATTATTACTTTTTGGGTTTCAGATACATAAAATTAGATAAATGAGAACTGACTGAATCATTTAAAAATGGAAATGAGAAAAACACCTTTTTTTTTTCTTTTTTTTCTTTTTTTTTTCAGTTCTTTCACTGGATAGGGGTAGTAGTAGAATTGTCTACTTACAATAGTTAACTCTAAGATGTATTCTGCCTAACTAGTAGTAGAACTGCCTCTATATTTATTTTTCATTTGATGGTTGAACCAGAGATTAGTCCGTATTTCTTTTTGGGCATTTGCCTGAATTTGTTTAAAAACTGATTAGGTTTTCATAATAATCAGTGGGAACAACACAAAGGGAAAAAGAAAAAACTTAGGCTCTAGTGTTGGGCATTTGCTTGAATTTGTTTAAAAACTGATTAGGTTTTGATAATAATTAGTGGGAACAATACAATGGGAAAAAAAACTTAGGTTCTAGTGTTGGGTATTTGCTTGAATTTGTTTAATGCAATCATGATTCATCTAAAACTGGTTAGGTTTTGATAATAATCAATGGGAACAATACAAAGGGAACTATTTGCTGTCATGGTTCTCTTGTGAGTGGAACATGTCACAAGATTTCCACTATCCACTTGATGAAATCTTTGATGTCCTGTTAGTTATCAAAAAAATAAAAAAATAAATAATTCTTTGATGTCCTGTTTAGCTTCAGATGCAATAATGATATTTTCGATGCTTATGGTTACATTATTTTTTCTCGTACTGTTTCTTTTTCTTGGCCAAAAGTATGTCAAAATTTATCTTATATTTTTATCTATTTGTTAGTTAATTGTATTTGATGTATATGGAAATGGCTTTTTTTAAAAAGCAATATTTTACTTCATAGCCTTACTGCAAAGGATTTAATATTTTAAACATGGAGGATCCAAAACTCCCTTTTTATTAGAATGATTTCTAGAGCAGTAGAGCAAAAATTCAGCTCATGGAAAAGACGGGAAAATGAAGAAATTTATGCTAATGGGTTTTAATTAGGGGAATTATGATATTTGTAATTAAAAGACCTCATTTTATTCTTTCAGCCTGTGTGACTTGCTAATTTCACTTCTTGTTTTAACTTTTTATAGCACTAAGAGGAGCTACAATGCTCAAAGCAAGATTAGAATGCAAAAACAAATTAAATGGAAGCACACCGATACTACAAATCGAGGAGAACAATGATTTTGAATTCGATTTTGAAAACTGCAGATCCATTCTTGCCAAGGGTTCTGGGCTCCATGTCGAGACATTAGACGGTATGTTAACTTAATTACTGTCATTATTAATAATATGTAGCTCAAGTTATAATTAATTGCATTGGGAATGCCTCACAAGGTTGTATGTTTGAGAAATTCCATTAAAGCTCTTTTTGAAAATTAAAAATAGGGAATGGGCCTACAGCCCACAGGCGTGTGAATTTTTGTCTCAAATCTTTTTTTTATTTATATATATACACATATATATTTTTATATGCCACTAAAATCTTACATCGTAAAAAGTGAATCGAATCGTGAATCGATTGTGAATCGTGCGATTCACTAGAGATTCACTTTCAAAATAGATTCACTCATAGATTCGTATCGATTTTGCAAAAATTGCGTATCGAATCGCGAATCGAATCGCGAATCGTAAGATTCTGACAACAGAGTATGCCACTAAAATCTTACATCCACTTTGGATTTAGAAGTTATCTGGTCAAATAAATAAAAGAAAAGAAAACTATAGAAAGACAAGCCACTAGACTCTGAGAATAATAGATAGTTAGAGAAAGTGAGACAAACATTGAATCTTTGTGTATGCATAAAATAAAAGAAAGGTAAAGGTTGAGGATAGGATCACTTTATGATTTTCTGACTAAGACAGTTAAGCAAAGTAGCAAATTCTGAGACCATCTCCTCTTTCACACCTATCCCATAAACAACACTTTTATGGAAATTAATCCTTAAACCAGAAACCACTTCAAAACACCTCAATATTCTTTTATGGATCATCATGAGGGAGATGGCTGCCATCAATTATTGCTTCTGCTAATGTCTCTACCGTTTGGAGGGACATCCTTGTCTAATTCCAGGCTGCACAGTTTCTATGTAGAGAAAGTGGAAATTAGGATTGGGAATGGTTTTAGGATCTTGTTCTAGATGGATAATTGGAGGGGTGATTCATGCCATCAAGGTATGTAATGTGTATAAGAGCTGTGAATTGTGATGATGACCTGAAATGGGGTCACCTTTGCTCTAGTTTTGTAGTTCCATGTTTCATATAAGCATAAAGTTGACTAGTACAAGAATAAGACCTCAGTAAAAGTGTCTATTAAATGATCCTGCAATTGTAAGGTAAAGAGAAAGCTAAAAGTGCATGGCAAAGTTACCTCTTATCCCGGACAATGTGAACATCTCGTACACGGCCATATCTAGAGAACTTCTTTTCCAAATCTCTCTTTGTAGTCAAAAAACTAAAAGCTTGCAACGAATAGGTTTCTCTCAGGTTTCCCTACTCCAGTGCTCCTATTATGAGGTGGGGACCATGGTCTCCTTTTAGGAGACCTACGGTAAGACTAATAGCGTAAAGGGGAAGATTTGTGCCTTGGAGAATCCCTCATCTTGAATGCAGAGGAATAAAAGTATGTATATTTCATTTACCAAAAACGTGCACATTTTGAAATTCTATCCCACAATTAGAAAAAGAACAAAGGATACCTTATCAACAAAATCAGAAAGAGAGTGGAAGAGAAAGTTTAAGACGAAATAGAATATTTCAATAACAATATGCGTATACATCGATTTCAAGGATAAAAGCATCGTATAAAGTCCCTCAAGCACCATATGTCTTCAATGAATAAGAGATTATTTGGAATTAAATTTCTAAAAGTTAGCTGGAACTTTGTCATAAAAATTCTTAACATTCCTTGTGTACCCATGGGTATAAGGAATGAAAAGTTTGATAAGAACATAAAAATTCTAATAAATAACAAATTTAAACACCAAACAAGAGCTAAAATAAAAAACAAACTTTTAATATTATCACCTTGGGGATCTTTTGTAATGATTTCTTGTATATAGGGACCTTCTGTGAAGATTTCTTGTATGTGGGGACCTTGATCGAGATCTGTTACTGTAATCTCTCTTGTATCCAAAAGAAGAATCCCTTCGCCTGACAGACGAAGTTGACTCCAACCTGTCCCTTCTCCTGTCATTTTTGGGTGAGTAATGATTCTTGCTGACGTAGATACACATTTCAATGAACCACCGTCCACAAGACGAGACCTTTAATGAGACTCTAGTGGAGAACCTAAATCCTGCCTATTAGAATGTGGTGAATGGTCATTGGAACAAATTTCTTTCCCCATACGAGAATTCTTAGGTGAATCAGAATGTTTCACTCTCTGTGATCTAGAAGAATATGACTGATCTTTAAGATCTTGCCCTGAACCAAATTGTCTTTTATCTCTAGGAGACTGGAACATACAAGGAGACCTTTCGGGTGAAACTGTTTCTTATCTTGCTGTTGCCGGTGATTCAGGTAGTTCAGGAGTCCTTTCAGTTGGGGTGTTTCTTGAATAGCAAATGTTCTCACTCTTAGTTTCATCACTGCTCCCGTGTGGCCTTGGAGACGAAGACAACTTTTTTGTATGAATAGTTGAAACTTTCTCTTCTAATTCTTTGAACACAGATTCAGATTTAGTAGACTCATATAGCAATGTCTCTGAAAGGGTTTCTTTCACTATGTTGTCATGGGAAGGAGAGGTTACGCTATCCTCCATCTCTTCTCCTTGATTAGCATCCTCCATTGAATAAGATTCCCATGCACATGTAGAAACTTTAGTTTCATTTTCATTATTTATACATTCTACATCTACTTGAGAGGGCTTACAAAGATTAGTGCCACGTAACTCCTCAGCCTATAGTTGGTAATGGTTATCATTAGATGGAAAATGCAAACTCTCTTGATCATAGATGATTCTCATTTTGCTGATAAAAACATCATCATTATAAGTTGTCTGCGCAGGTGAATGTAATTTTTCACAAGGAGATGCAAAAATATCAGTATATTTGGAATCAGAAGGCAGTGAGGGGGAACAATCTTGCCCTTGCTCATTATCTATGTCAAGTTCATTACCTTTTGCTAAGTTTATAACATGGTTAGTTTGGAAAGGCAAGATGAAAACATTGGATTTCCTGCATAAAATTGGTGTGTTAAGGAGTAATGTTGACCTATCTTGTGTATTTTGTAAATCTAAAACAGCGGCATTAAACCTTATCTTGCTTTGGTACCCCTTTGTGTGGCAAGTTTGGTCAAGTATTTTGGATTGGTAGGGATTGTGTTGGGTTTTACCTGGGTCTGTGGAGAGTTCGATGCAATGGTCAGCATCCTTTTTTTGTGAATAATTATGTTAATAACATTTTCATTGCTTCTATATCTAGTGGTGACCACAACTATCTCATTCTTTTTATTTCAGGAGAGAATTGGGGATGCTAAACATCATGATTCAGAGCCGCCAACTCCACATTCACTTATAAAAATGGGTTGAAGGTTAGTTCAATTATTATCATCACCTTCAATTAAGAGTCAAATAGTGTTTCAATTTGCAATTTCTGGGGACCTGTTCTTGTGAGTTTTCTATGTTAGAATCACATTTTAATATTCTTTGGGAAGCATTTCTTTAGTTGAAAACAGCCTGCTCACTGCAGACATTGGCAAACACTGATTGAGGCTTCTATTGACTCATCAATACATCATTCTAATCAAAAAAATTATCATGCTCTGAACAATTTCAAAGAGTCAATTTTATCTTTATGAAGCAGTTACTGCTATTGGGCATCCAGCTTCACTGTATCACAAACGATTTATGCCCTTCAAAACAAAAAAATTAAGAGAAAGATCCAAAGGGATAACTTTGATATAACTCTGATTGTGGACATACCTGTCAGTGTCAATGTCCAGTTCATAGTTTTTGCTAGACTGAAATATCTTATTCAGAAGACACCTCATTTATAATATTTTACCTTTTTAAAATTCTCTTCTGAATGCTTGTATAAATTGCTTACTAGAAAAAAGGAAATATATTAATGTATTTACTAAAATTCAACTAATGTCGTTAAAAAAACTTACCCCAGTAACTTGTGTTTATTTAAAATTAACATTTATTTTATTTCTGCTCTATTAGGGCTTCCCCTTGGTATGATGTCATGTAACTTAGGGCTGTCGACCCACATTCTCTTTGAACTCCTCCTGCTCCCTGTTGTGCCTTCAACTTGAACTGTTAACCTTCACTTTTCTTTGTCTATGGAGTCATTGGCGCTTTTTTTCTTTGCTCCTGGAAATACTAAAGAAATCAGTCAACATCTGCATTGTGTAGGCTTTATGTGGGGCCTTTAATAGTACATTGTTGTCCCATATCAGTTTTAATGGTGTTGCAATGGTTAAAAATAGATGATTTTTACTGCTCAAGTACCTCACATTCCCAAATCACATGCAGATAGTGTAGTAACATGGAACATCCAGATGGAACACTGGCTAGTGTTGCCCAATGCATTGAGCAATTGGGGCAGAATTCTTCATCTGTACAGGAACAAGAGTAATCCTTGAAGCAGTTGCTCGAGCATATTGATACACGCGAAAATGTTTTCAGTGCTGTTGGATCGCATTCTCAGGCAGTTCCTGTACTCATGTCTCCTCTTCAATCAGGATCACTTAGGGTAAAGATGCAGGCTGCTACTGCTTTCAACTGAAGGAGTAGTGCCGGTACTATGGGAGCAACTACAGAAGGGGCTAAAGGCTGGAAACGTTGTTAATAACTTGCTGATAGGAGCTTTAAGAAACCTTTCCAGCAGCATTGAGGGATTCTAGTCTGTAATCTCTGTAATCACAGTGACAATATATGTGCATGCATTGAGAGTGTCGATGTTGTTCCTGCTTTACTATGGCTACTAAAGAATGGTAGCTCAAATGGGAAAGAAATTGTCGTGAAGACATTGAACCATTTGAAGATCTTATTTTGCTCCGATCTCCAATCTCCCAATCGCATTGAATATTGATATAAGGATATTGAAAAGTATGGCTTTGAAACAGGTCTTGTTTTGACCTCCCAACCTTGTAGTTTAGCTTTAAACACAGATTATTTGTTGTTGCTTAGGTTAAATGTAACTTCAATTAGCATACCCTCACAATCTCTCTTACTTTCGCAGACTCTACAAACTCTCTCTACCAACCCTTACTCTGGTTTTTTTTTCTTTTTTCCCTTCAATTTTGTTACAGGAGTTAGTATTCTAGGTAATGTATAATACATGTGTATATATATTATATTTCTATTTTTATAAAAAAATTTTAATATTTTTGTTCTTATTAAAATTCTGGTCTGAAATGCAGGTGTAGTTGAATGCTGTGTAGTGGCTAGTAAATGAGATTTAATTGGAAGCAAATCATTTTCATAGATTGTTAGTTGCTATCTTTCTAGTTAGTTCCTCGGCTCAATTTATCCATCAATTCAATCTCAAACCTTTCGACTCTTAAACTCAACAAGGTATGGAAAACTACCCATTTCCTCATTCTCTCTCTTCATCATTCTTCTTTTAATAGGTTTGATAAATCAGTATTTCTTTGGCAAACACATTTCTAGAATAATATGTAAATGATCTGAATAAGTGTGTAATAGAAACCCCAATACTTTAATTAGAGTAGAACTTAAAATGTAATTCAAAAATAGATTATACAAACCCGATTTGGAAATTCAATATTTTAAAGTGTTTCTTATTTGTATGTAATTTAATTGTTGTTAGCAGACATTGGATTGCAAAAATATTTTCAATAATGGATTCGTATTTAAATATAATGATTTTATTGTATAATATGGCACTAGTTTGTTTAACCAATCTTAATAATTAATATTTACACATTGTGATATTAATCTTATAAGTTTGTCTAGCATTACCAATCACAGAAAAATAGTGAGAACTGGTTGATACACTAAAATACTCAAACGACTCTAGATGCTCAAACGACTCTGGATGTCAACGAAAGTTGACACAAATGACTAATTAGGCACAAATGACTTGTAGGAAAAGACGGGGCTCGAAACCGATTCTCAATTTTGAATCTAGAGTCTAATTTCCATTTGTGAAAACTTATCCTTTAAAAATTCTTTTTCGAACCAGTTGACACTCTAAAATGGCTAAACGGCATCGAATGTCAACGAAACTTCACACACTTGAATAACTAGGCATAAATTACTTGTAAGAAAATACGGGACTCGAAACCGATTCCTGATTTTAAATCTGGAGTCTAATTTCTGTTTGTGAAAGCTTGGCATTTAGAAACTCTTTTTTCCAAACTGATTGACTCACTAAAATGCTAGAACGGCGTCGGATGTCAACGAAATTTGACACACAGAACTAACTAGGCACAAATGATTTGTAGGAGAAGACGGAACTCAAAACCGATTCTCGATTTTGAATCTAGAGTCTAATTTCCGTTTATGAAAGCTTGTTCTTTAAAGACTCCTTTTCAAACCGGTTAACTCACTAAAATGCTCACACAACATCCGATGTCAACGAAACTTGACAAACATGACTAACTAGGCACAAATGACTTGTAGGAGAAGAAGGAACTCGAAATCGATTCTCGATTTTGAATCTAGAGTCTAATTTATGTTTATGAAAATTTATTCCTCACAAACTCTTTTTCGAACTGGTTGACACATTAAAATGCTCAAACGGGCTCAGATGTCGACGAAACTTAACACACACAATATACTAGGCACACGTGACTTGTAGGAGAAGATGAGACTCGAAACCGATTCCCGGTTTTGAATCTAGAGCCTGATTTCTATTTACGAAAACTTGTTCTTTAGAAACTCTTTTTCGAATTGGTTGACTCACTAAAATGGTCAAACGGCGTCCGATGTCAACAAAACTTGCTCTTGAGTACGTGATGATATCTTCGCATGTCGATATTGCAACTTACAATATTTTTTCTATTTATTTATTTTTTGAAATAAATATCAAACGTTTTACATTTTTTGTAAACTTGAAATTAATTATATTGTAAATGATGTTTTTTTGTGTTTCTTTTTGCAGATGTAATCCCTTTTGAGTACGTGATGATATCTTTGCATATTGATATTAAAACAAACTATAATATATATGCTTTTTTATTTGTATTGTCGATACTTTTGTTTTGCTTTAGATACAAAAATTTATGTTCTTGAATATTAAAAATTATTAGTATTGTTGGAGGATGTTTTATATATTTTTGTAAAGAATATTTGGTTGACAATTGTTACAGGGTACATATATATATATATATATATACACGTATGATTTTGTGAATGTGAATGTTGATGTGTGTGAATGTGGATATATTTTGACGTGGGTAGGCCCATAAAGGCCATAACCCACTATGAACAACCCAAGCCTACCACTTAGGGTCCAATACATAACCCAACTGATAAGGCCCAGCACAATCTGGAAGTCAACATGGCATGAAGGACCAATGATATTCAGACACGTGGCAGGTAAAGGGCAAGCCACATCAGCAGACAAAGATCTGCAAAGTTATTGCCACTGCACATCGCCATTAATGCGCCTCCTCACTGTATTTATTACGACAACACCTCTCCGTCGGGACAGCACGCCCTCACCCTAAACAAGGTAAGCTACAGCATAGACTTTTGGCCAATGTGACAGGTCGAAAGAGACAACGTAATGATTACCAAAGGATATAAGTAGACGTCGAAGACATGTAGAAGGTTAAACTTTTCTATCTCTATTCCATCTCTACACTCCACTTCTCTCTCTAACTTGCTCGTCAGAGGGTTCGCTGGGGGACTCTCCGTTCCCTGTTGGACTCTTGTGCAGGTCTTTAGGTGGGCTTGGTCATTCGGACATAGGCTAAAGGAGAGTGGATCAGTCCGACCCATTTTACCATCACAAACTGTATCATCAGCTGGCGCTGTCTGTGGGAACGCTTTGCTCCTCGCGCCAGTTGTGTTCATTGTCGCCGGAGACCCTGCCCCAATAACCCTTTCTTGATACCCATCAAAGTGTATGGTCACGACTAGATCCATGGCTTCTCACCAAAATGTCGCCGACCACCAAGCCAACCCCCCCAATCCAAATAATCCACCAAAGTATTTCATCGAGCTTACCAACAGCATTAACCGCATGGCCGAGCAAAGCTAAGCCCTGATAAATGCTCTACTCCAAAGAAACCTTCCTATGCCTCCTCCACTACCTCCAGATATTCTGCCCAACCAAGAACGAGCGCCGAGCCATACTATCCCGTAGCCCTATCCACCCAACTTGGAAGGCTTGCAGCCTCATTCTTCTAATATAAATCCACCACCCCGACCTCCGCATCCATTGGTCCTGGCACCAACCCCTGAAGGGGAAGCCAGTAGCGCCCAACCCCCGCTGCCTTCCGGCGGTGATAACATCCCTCTCTGGGATGTCGAACTCCGAGCCATGAAGCTCCAACTCCAAGGGGTTATGCAGAACATCCAGCATAAGCCCTCTACCACAGCAAATTCACCATTTGTTGCCTCTATCCGGGACAAATCTCTACCCTCCAAGTTCAAAATGCCTACCATCGACTCTTTTGATGGTACGACAGACCTAGTCGACCATCTGGAGACCTACAGAACCCTCATGATCGTCCATGTATTCCTTGACGAGATCATGTGTCAAGCTTTCCCCGTGACACTGAAGGGGTCAGCTCGGTTGTGGTTTAGCCAGTTACCAGCGGACTCCGTCTCCACTTTCCAGCATCTCAGTGACTCCTTCCTCAGTCATTTTATTGAAGCCCAGCGCCAACGCCGTCCGGCAACCCAACTCCTCAACATCCGCTAGACCGAGGGGGAGTCCCTGCATAGTTTCGTTACCCGCTTCAACACCGAAGCCTTGCAGGTGGCGGGAAACGATGATAAGGTCATTTTTACAGATTTCATGCCTGACTACGGTCGTTCGACTTCCTCTTCTCCCTCTCTAAACCCCCCACCTCCATGGCAGCCCTACTCTCCAAAGCCCAAAAATACATGAATGCTGAAGATTCCCTAGCCGCCCGGCAAGATCCTATAACCAAAAACCCGACCCCTAGAGAAAAGAGGAAAGATCCAGACACCAAAAATACCCAATACACTAACCAAACGTCTCAGTACATTGACCGACTCCCCAGAACTGAGCGATCGGCCCAAGCCCGACCGCCCGATCGGTTCGAGCGGTACAGCCCCTAAACTCCCCCATGGAACAAGTCCTTAATCAGATCCAGCGGGACTACCCCCTGAAATGGCCCCAACCATCGCGAACCCCTTCCAACCAGAAAGACCAGTCCAAATATTGCTGTTTTCACCAAGACCATGGCCATAACACCGATGAGTGTGTTAACCTTAAGGATCAGGTCGAGACCTTAATACGTCAGGGATGACTTAGTCGGTTCACGGACACCCGCCCTCAGCAGAGGCAAAGGACTGAGCCCAACAGAAACAACTGCTGGCGCACCCCTCCCCGGCAGCCAGCCCAACCTAACCAAGGCCATGATCGCCCTCCACAGCAACCTCGGGCACAGGGTAACCCCGCCCCACCTGTTGGAGAAATCAGAGTTATTTCCGACGGGCTTGCTTGTGGCGGACCATCTCGCTCGGCTCAGCGGGCAGAACTCAGAAAAATAAGGTAAGGCTCAGATAAAGAAATTGCCACGTTGGATCGACCCCCCAAACAGCCCAGGCAGTGGACCGAGCTTATCACCTTTACGGACGCTGACTGCACAGGTATTCGTTACCCCCACAACGACCCCCTCGTCATTTCAGCCCTCCTCTCCAACTACAAGGTCAGACGGGTTCTCATAGACAATGGCAGCTCTTCAGACATCATCTTCCTCAACTGCTTCCGTCAGCTCAAGATCGGGAAAGAAAGTCTCTCCCCTCTCCAAACCCCTTTGGTCAATTTCACTAGTGACCGGGTGACCTCCATCGGCACCATCGATCTCCCCATCACCATCGGCGAGTACCCGCAGCAGACCACCAAGTTGCTTACCTTCTTTGTTGTCGACTGCCCCTCTGCTTACAACATCATCCTTGGCCGAACCGCCCTAAACGCCTTCCAAGCCATCACCTCTACCTTCCATCTCGCCGTCAAGTTCCCCACCGACCTTGGGGTCGGCACAGTCAGGGGAGAACAGACTGTGGCCAAAGAATG